TAGTAAGGCAATCAAACCATAATTTTTAAAACTCTACAAATCAGCATTTATGTTCTAATCTCTACAGAATGAGATATTCACTTAAATTTTAATAAGTATAAGCTTTTCACAAATTCACATGACAGACCTATACCAGTCTGGTAAGATTCTTTTCTAATCCAATTATTTTACCTCGTCCACCCAAATAACTGTAATTCCTGCTCCACATAGCAGTGCCAAATTGAAGTTAGCAGAACAGTTACAAACTTGTCCTGGCTCACTCTGAGGATGTCGTCGCCAGGCGGCGGCGTTTTGAGACCCAGTACCAGTTGTTGACAAATGTGATATAATATTTCTTTCTATTTTGTTCTTGAATGAATCAAAGTAAAAAAATACTCAAGCTACTATTTCAACTGTTAACCTTACATTGAATTCCGAATGCAACCTTTTTTTTCGTTTGCTTCATCGTCTTTACCCTCTGTTTGCTTAAACAATGTATATTCTGGTTTTCATCTACCCAATTTAAATCCAGCACAATTTTGTTATGAAAATCAAGCAAAAAACAGTCTTCTGCTGAAATTTTGTATCACGGTAGATTTTTTTTTTATAGTAAAGTTTTGATAGATAATTAATCTCCACCGATATCCTCATAGTGGCTACCAGTCATCTCAGCTTCTTGAGTTCCATTAAAAAAAACAACAACACAATAAACAGAACTATGAGTGACATGTATTACAGACACTTGGGATTTCATGGAAACATTTTTGAATGTTCTATTGTAGCACTACAGCCAGTGTAGAATGTTTGTCATTGTATGTCATTGCATACAAGTGTATACCTCCACTACTGAGGGAAGATACACGTATGTCTCTCCAGACTTGTAATATATTTAAAGAAAACTGAAGAAAGTACAAACAGTTGATACTTCTTTAAATACAGAATCTAAAACACAAAGACTGAAATTATCAAAACAGCAGCACATAAATTATGTATCCATGGTTCTGTAAGTGCAGGCTGCTGGCCGATAGCCTCCCCTATGTGTCACAATAAAAGACTGCACTATGATATACTCATTCATCAACAATTAATGTCAGAAACCCACATAGAACTTAAACAAGGCCAGGGGAGCACTTCTCTTGTACATAAGTTATTTTCTTGAATACATAATTCAAGTTTCCAATTGCAATTATATTGACCTTTGTGACTTTCAGCTGTTTGCCCACTGTCACAGAACGAGACTGAACCCATGCTATAGTGTGGACTTCATCAACATTCATACATCACTTTGCTATTTTCTCAGCATCAAAAATAAAAATGTATGGCAATGACTCCAAATGGGAGACTTCATGAAATTCCAGTTGTGCTACATTACAAATAAATTTTACATATTAAACGCAACTAAAAATAAAATCACCACTTAATTTTAACTGACATCATAAATTACGTTAATTAAGAACAACAGAACAACTCAATTCAGCTTTACTTCTCTTAAACTCCCAACTTTCTGCTTGTCCCCACAAATCGCTTCTCTGACGCTACTATAAAGCTTCTTTGGGTTGCTGCTTGTAGGACTTCAATCCCTACACCAAAAGCAATAGTTTGGTTAAAACCCACACCTTTTTTTGAAATGCATTTTCCAATTTGAACATGTAAAGGTCTCTCTGTGTGTAATGTGTCCTGAACCTTACCCTGTGTAACACTCTGACTAATAGATACACAGACACCTCGTGGGCACAGGGTTACGTACCCTAGATGCTGACCCCGCACCTACGCCATTTTAGAAGCATTTTCCCCAAGCCCAACGTTCCATTTTCACAAGGAGACAAAGCAAAACTGTGGGCCCCTTAGTCTAAGGTTTCCAATTAAATCTTTTTATTAAGTAGTGTAATTTATTAACCCTGTTGCTTAATGCATCCATATAATTCTTTTTGAATTTTAATCTTGAATTAAGAATTTTTTTCAATTAGCTGATCAGCCCAGCATGCCCTACCTACCTATATATTGTGGAAGTACAATTTTGCACTAATACTTGTCAATAAATTAAGCCAGTCCTAAGTAATCTGTAAATCTTTGCCCCTTACCTGGGTTAAATTTGTTTCAGAAGTTTTTTTTTTCTTTGTTTCAGGGGGGGTGTGTGCCGAATGTAGGAAAAATTTATTCATGCTTAAATACAGACTCCACCCAGCCTGTGGAATGCTTGTCTATGTTTCAGATATATGTTTGTCAAATACCGAACTGGGGGACTTTTGACTCTACAGAATCCAATTTTGTAGTACCAACTGAATACCTAAAAATTAATAATAGAACAGGCCAGCTGTCTAAGATCCAGAAAACTACTGTGACGCACGAATTAACCGTCCTTGGCTTGTCTTCTAGCTGCTGAGAGGAAGGTTTTGTTCTAGAATTTCTGGTGGTCTTAATGTTTTCCCTATTGTAGAGTGATACAAGCAGTGAATGTTGGAGTTTTCACAAATTATTAACTGTGAATAATTTGCTATACACGATGGAAACGATGTTAAGTGATAAGTGGCCTTGAGTTAATCCTTCCAATTTTATCCTTTACCACTAAATTCATATTTCCTTCTTATTTCACCTTGTCTTAATAAAATGTTGTCTTCATATTCGATTGTTTAAAGTCGAGTTGGTTGAATAATCTTAAATGAGTTACACCTCTAATCTTCACTATCTATATGGATTGCAGGGGCTGGGCATTAACTGGTAATAGGGTAGAGGGGGTGTGGAGCTTCTAGTCTCATGGAAGAATCACATTTCCAACATTCAGTTATGGATTATTAGGTTCATTAATCATATTTATGCATGACTTTTAATGTGGAGGCAGATGAGGGAACTGCAATAAGGATTGTGGATTTCGCTTCTGCTGAGCCAATGAACTATCGCCAAGCCTGATTGCGGCTTCCAATAAGGAAGCAATCGATAAGGTGATGAGATTTCTGTACCATTGTCCTTGAAGGTTTAACATATAATGGAGATAACAGTGGCTGTGCGTGTGTTTTTTGTCTTTATATAAGTGATTTCCTGCAGGGTTGAATCTTGTGTGTTGTGAATTTATGAGTAGGATACCTCTTATATCCTATCATGTCAAATTCAGAACATTACGGTTGTTGATTGAATCTACATGAAATTATACGTTACATGAGGCTTTTACGTGATTTTGTAATGTAGAGAATTTAATTTTTTCATTGAATTATTATATATTAACAGTTTAATCTAATTACATAATATGTCCAGGTAATTAATTGATTCATATTCAGCCGAGTATGTGAACAATTCCAGAGTGTAATGGAGTAGATGTTCTGATGATGTAGCTGCGTTTATCAGGTGTTATGAAGTTTATAATGAAGAGTAGGTATTAGGAGTGCAATGAATGGTTTTCATTGTTAATAAATGAAGAGTAGCCATGACTTAATTGGATCGGTTGATAATGGAACTAAGGAAGTGCTGCTAAGCACAATATGAAGTGTTAATAAGTTAAATAGTACTAATTTCTGTAATTGACAATATGGTTTACAGCTTATGTTGCTGCAAGGGTTTAGACGTATTATAGTAAATCCACAAGAAGTCCTGTGGCTACCTAAATTTGATTGACATTCACTAGGATCCTCAATTTTGGTAGTTTATAATACTAAGGTGAATTGGAAGGATGCTGAGTTAATGCACGTAGTGAATCCCTGAATGACTCTTGAATGGTGGTGCTGAGTCATTTAGCATGTTTTGAATTTATGCGTTTTTATGGTGATAACTGTTCTATTATTCGAGATTTAGAAGCGAAGTTCGTGGTTGACTTGAACTGAATCTATACGAATAGCTTATTATTACAATGTATGTAAATAAGTTCATCGACAGATCTTGGTGAGTTTATTTCCCACTGTGACATCGAAGTAATGGCGTCAGCTGCTTCCCGCTATGATATCAGGCTGGGCATTAATATTGAGCGTGACTGCCTTTGTTGGTCATGGCAGTTTGTGCTGTCTTTGGGATGTCGTTAATGGTGTTGTGGGTAAGGACACTGGTTAAGGTGATCAATAATTGTTGATTTGAGATGTCAATAATAGAGATATTTCAGATTAATGATAATTCACCTGAATATAAATGAACGAAGCTTGACTGTCTTACTCAAAGATGCGAGACTCCATGGCCCCCCTGAGTAATTGATGATTATGAGAGCTCCTCGTGTCAAAAAAAAGTGTGACTGAGTTTGAGTGATATGAGAGCCTCGTGTCAGATATCACAAATGCCTGATTGCAGTTCTTGCTGCCAATGGTGGCACAAACGGTTATTGGGTTTGGGGGACATTCAGGTAGGTTTGAATAACCTTTTCCCACTTTTGTGTATTTGCTTATCTTTCTGCAAAATTTTACATATTTTGATGATCTCGAGTGTGACAAATATGCAAAAACAATAATTCAGGATGAGGGCAATTACTTTTTCACAGCACTACAGGTCTGTATGAACTGTATACAGGCAGATGCATCTTAACAGTGTGCTGTTGTTTTTTAGGTTACGTATACGTGGACTTGCACTCTGAGGAAGAGGTGGAAAAGGCCTTGAAGAAAAACAAGGATTATATAGGTGAAATTATTAGGACTTATTTCTGTTCATAGTATTTGGCTGTGTTACTATGAATGAGATGTTACAGGGTGTAAAAACTCTGCACAAAATATGAGCGAAAACATTTGAAGCCACCATTCAGTTGGGGAAACAACGGCACAAAGACATTTATAGATGTATTTCTCATTCTCTACTAGCTGATGAAGCCTAGACTTTGTCCTTGTGTTTTCAGGAGGGCGTTACATTGAAGTGTTTCGCGTGGATGCTTTAGCGGGAAAGAACAAAAGAGATGGAAAAGAGAAAGAAACTGACAGAAACTTTGGCAGGAAGCTCAAGGAGGACGAGGAGGAGGAAGATGTTTCAGAGTCGGGCCGACTCTTCATCAGAAACCTTCCTTACACCTGCACAGAGGAGGACATCAAAGATCTGTTTCTTCTATCGCGGGCAATGACTCCAAATGGGAGACTTCATGAAATTCCAGTTGTGCTACATTACAAATAAATTTTACATATTAAACGCAACTAAAAATAAAAATCAGTCATTTATTTTATGCCCTATATTTATAATTAAGTGTATTAAAGAAACAAAACTCTATTAAGGCTTTAAACTTCTCTTACTCCACTTTCTGCTGCCCCCATCGCTTCCTCTGAGCTCTATAGCTTATTTTGGGTATTTCTGCTTGTGGCTTCATCACCTAAAAACAGAGCATTAGATTTGGTTACACTTTTTTGCATGCTTTTCCATATTTGAATGTAAGGATCTCTCTGTGTATATGAATGTAAATGATACCTTTAACTGTGGAACATCTGTACTTATAAAGAATAAACAGGACACACATCAGTAGGAGCACAGGGGTTACAACGTAAACCACATAGAGTGCTGAAAAAAAAACAGAACACTGTAAAAGCATTTTTAAAGCAAGCATTTTCCAAAGCATTCAATTTTCACAGGCATAACAGCAGAACTGTGGGCTTAGTTTACATAATGGTTTCATTATCTTTTTATTAAAAGTTATGTGTATTTTAACTTAACTGTTGCATTGATGCACACATCCATACCTATTTGATTTTTAATTTGAATTAGATTTTTTTTTACATTAGCTTGAATTAAAGGCCCAGCATGCACTCAAAACCACATGCTAACCCTAATTATATTGTGGAAATGTACTTATTTTGCTATTACTGTTGTCATAGCATTTAGCAGCTAACTAACAGGCACATATACTGTATCTTTAGCTTTACCTGGGTTATTTGTTTCCAGAGTTCCCAGAGTGTGCTGCAGAAAAACTGTAGGAGAAAGCAATTTTATTTCAACAATGACATTAAAAAAATGACCACGGCAACTCACACATCTGTGGGATTGCTCTGTTCTATGTTTCAGCCTATGATGTTGATGCCAACATGGCACGACTGAAGGGATATTTTGAATCCTACAAGAATCCCAAACTGTTGTTCCAGTCAACTGAATCAAACTAAAAATTAAAATATAGGAAAAAGGCACAACCGCTGTCTAGATCAGCACTACTGTTGCAACGCAACCAGAAATACCGTCTTTGGTTCCTTGCTATACTTCTAGATGCTGAGAGCAAAGGTTTTGTTCTAGATTTCATGGTGCCAAAAAGTCCTTCACAATTGTTTTCCTGATACTGTACCAAAGAGAAGTGTACAGTACACAGTGATGTGACCCTCAAAGTTGACACAGTTTTCAACACAACTTATTCATATTCAATAAACCTGTGCATATTGTGTTGATAAAACATGACTGGCACATGTTTAGATGAAGTAAGTTGAGCTCTTGGAATTTTTTAATCTTTCACAATTTTGTCACTTTATTCCAACACTATTCAATAACTTTCACCCCATTCATTAATTTTCACTTGGTCACTTAAATACTACATGTTGTCTTCATATTACATAATGTTCAACAAAGTCTAGAGTCTGGTTAACATAAAAATTTTATGGGTTTACAACAACTTCTATCTTCCTTTATATGGATTGCAGGGGGGCTGGGCCATAACCCGGAAGTGATAGGGTAAGAGGCAGGGTACACTCTTGAGAGCTTGCTAGTCTATCACATGGAGACAAACAATCATTTGCACTCACATTCACGCTTATGGATTATTTAGAATTACCAATTAATCTATCTCTAATAACTGCATGACTTTTAACTGTGGGAGGAAACCAGAATACCCAGAGGGAACCAACTGCACACTAGCAAGATTGTGGATTTGAACCCAGAACCTTCTTGCTTGAGGCAA